AGGCTGCTCTTTCCAGGTGATGAAGCAAACTCTGGGAATAGGCAGGACATACAACCATTCAGAGGAGGCATGGCAGAGACGTCCTGAGAGTCAGATGAATCTGGCACGAGTCTTGATCCCACAACATGGTGTCCTGAGAGGAGGACTCTCCAGCTAGAGGGGTGGCACGCTGAGAAAAGGTGTACTGGCTTCCAAAAGGCCCTTCCCAGATTAGAGGGTCCCACACAAACTCAAAAGGAGGGTTCCCCAAAGTAGTTGCTAGACTGGGCTCAACAAACTGCTCTGTGCATGCTAAGGGATTCATTCTGTGGTGATAGGGTTTATCGGATATACTTGGTATATAAAGAACTTGGTATAGGGTGATAGGGTTTATCGGATATACTTGGTATATAAAGAAAATAAAGAACTTTTGCTAGGTAATGGTCTGAACCCTTGCAGTGATAAGGGGGAAACAGCTGCAAAATTTATGAGCAATATTCTGCAGGGCTTAACATAAAATCCCTATCCCATCAAACATAGATCCTTTCATCAGATCTTTCTCCCCAGAGGTGTGGAAATAAATCTGGGATCTTTCATTTTGGAGGGAACTTCAGAAGGATTTAGCTGTACTTGCTGTAAAAAAATATGAGGAGGTCAGTGACCTTCCTGCTCTTTCCCATAAACACCATCGTCTCCTTCTTCAGTGCACTTTCTTTGGCTCTACCTTAATTCTACAGAAGATGCCACTTTAAGGAAAAGGTTTCCTCTTTTCCTTGGAGGATCTACCTAAGTCAGCCCTGCCTCTCAGCAGGCTGGTAGCAGCCCCATCTTCCCCCTTTCTCCAGGCTTTCTCCATTTCCTTCCTCCACCTGGCATTGGAATCCTGGCTGTGCTGGCTAAAAGCAATTCTCACTGGATTGACTGGTTCAGACTCCAAGGCTAGCAATTGGTCTTCATCTTCCCAGACTGCACACCTTTCTCTGGCCCTTTTATCCTGCCACATATGTAAATTCAGAGGCACCTTCCCCTTTTAGGCAGCCCTGTGCTACCCATGCCCCAAACACACCCACAGACACCGCTCCCAGATGGGAACAAATCCTGCTCAGTCTGTCCTACAGAAAGTAGGAGGAAGGACGATGAGAGTTTGGCTTCAGTGTGCCCTCTTTTTAGCAGTCCTCAGAGGTACCAGTTCTGCCTTCTGGTACTAAGGAATGGCATTTTTCAGGTGTTTGCATGAAACAGGATTTTTTACACTGTCTTCTGTTCCAGGTGCTCGATCAGAGGTCCAGCTGGTGGAGTCTGGAGGGGATCTAAAAAGGCCTGGTGAGTCCCTCCGGCTCACTTGCCAAGGCTCTGGCTTCACCTTCAGCAGCTACTGGATGGGCTGGGTGAGACAAGCTCCTGGAAAAAGATTGGAATGGTTGACATACATACATTCATCCTACATTTACACCTCGGACAAAGTGAAGGGGCGATTCACCCCTTCCAGAGATGATGCCAGCAGCCTGCTTTATCTGCAAATGAACAACCTGCAATCTGAAGACACAGCTGTCTATTACTGTGGAAAGGTCACAGTGAGGGGAAGTGAATCTACACGCAAGCAAAAACCCTCCTAGTCATTGGCAGCTCCTCAAGTTGATGAAAATGCCACTGCTTGAGTGAAAGGAAATCTAGGCATGGGCGAACTGCATTCTGGCCCTGCCCTCTGATTGATTCCAAACCTTTGGCTTTCTTCAAGGTGTGGTTGATGAATCTCATGTAAAATTCCAGGCCTTTTGCCATCTTATAAAAAATTAAATTGTGGGGAGGATTGAGAGCAAGCTCACCAGAATTGGTCATTGCCGCATTCGGGGACTCCTTCACGTGCTCAGCCCAGCCTTCCAATGGCAAGCTGAGCCATGGAGAAGTCCCAGGACTCACCTGGAATGAAGGGTGTGCAAGAGGCAGCCTCTCCCTTCATCAGTGAAGGGCACAAGCAAAGGCTGCTGGGCTTGGCACAGAAGAGGGCACCAATTATGCAGGCACACGGCTCATTTCCCAGCAAACTCCACAAGAATGCTGGGAACTCTGGCCAAGAACTTGGACTCAGGGCTGTAGAGAATGTTGTTGAGTCAGAGGAGCTGCGCCCAGGCAACCCAATCCCAGATTCCCACTCATTATGCAGATTTTTCACACATCCCCAAGACATCCAGAGAGCAGTCCTGGGACTGATCACTTACTTGGACTACTTGTAGTAGTCCAAAGTTTACAAGCTTTGTAGAATTCCTTTCTCCTTCTGGCAAACACATTGATCAATAAAAACAGTTTTGCAAGAAGGATCTGTGGCTTTGAATGTGGAAGGGGAGGAAGCTGAGCCTGAGATAAGCACCATGTTACTGAAATGACATTCTTTCAGTAACAGCAGAGAATGACATTCTCAAAAACAGTTCTTTCAGACCCGCTACCAACTTCCACCACTTCATAATCTCTTAGTTTTCCTGTCTTTGCCTTTCACATTTGTCCAAGACTCAGTATGTCGCCTCTTCCATTAATAGTTTCATTCAAGAACCATCAATATCTATCCCCAGCCTGTGATGTTTCCTTCACTGATCTCAAACATCAAGGAGGAGCTTCCTCACAAGTGGCCAGCAATGACACATGGATCAGAAATTGAGGAAATAAGATGGGGACCTGAGCATGCAGTTTTCTTCATTTGACCATGAGGCTGCTGATGTCGTTAGCATTCTGCATGAAAAGAAACACTCCACTGGTTCCTTAAGAGTTCAGCTGCCTCGGAGATGCCATGCTGCCCATTATTCATCCTCCGCATCCATGCAGGCAGCAGCTTGAGCTTTTTTCCACCAGATTCTCAGCATGCCATGTGGTGCCCACAGTTCTGCCTTCATTGGGTGAGACAACTCACTCATCCCTGAGGGCAAAAAGGCACTGGCTGTTTGGAATTGCCATTGGTCTTCACTTCCAGGCCACACTGATCTGGACTCCAAGGCAGAGGAATGGAAGGAATGGGCAGAGGGGCCTAGGATCTGGGGCTTCAGACTTGGGGACGGGAGAAGTAGAGGAGCTTATCTCAAGGCCACTCTCTCCAGGTGATGAAGCAAACTCTGGGAATAGGCAGGACGTACAACCGTTCAGAGGAGGCATGGCAGAGATGTTCTGAGAGTCAGATGAATCTGACATGAGTCTTGATCCCATGACATGGTGTCATGAGAGGAGGGCTCTCCAGCTAGAGGGGTGGCACACTAAGAAAAGGTGTGCTGGCTTCAGAAAGGCCCCTCTCAGACTGGTGGGTCCCACACAAACTCAAAAGGAGGGTTCCCCAAAGTAGTTGCTAGACTGGGCTCAACAAACTGCTCTGTGCATGCTAAGGGATTTCATTCTGTGAAGATGGGGTTTATTGGGTATACTTGGTGAATAAAGAGCTTTTGCTAGGTAATGGTCTGAACCCTTGCAGTGATAAGAGGGAAACAGCTGCAAAATTTATGAGCAATATTCTGCAGAGCTTAACATAAAATCCCCATCCAATCAAACATAGATCCTTTCATCCGATCTTTCTCCCCAATGGCGTGGAAATAAATCTGGGATCTTTCATTTTGGAGGGAACATGATGTTACTTGAGAAGAATTTAGCTGTACTTACTGTAAAAAAATATGAGGAGGTCAGTGACCTTCCTGCTCTTTCCCATAAACACCATCTTCCCCTTCTTCAGTGCACTTTCTTTGGCTCTACCTTAATTCTACAGGAGATGCCATTTTAAGGAAAAGGTTGCCTCTTTTCCTTGGAGGATCTACCTAAGTCAGCCCTGCCTCTCAGCAGGCTGGTAGCAGCCCCATCTTCCCCCTTTCTCCAGGCTGTCTCCATCTCCTTCCCCCACCTGCAATGGAATCCTGGCTGTGCTGGCTAAAAGCAATTCTCACTGGATTGACTGGTTCAGACTCCATGGCACATCTCTGAAGGGATGCAGCCACAAGCCTGAGTGGACTCTGTGGGACAAAGGGTTGAGGTACCTGCAATATTCAATGCAGATTAACAAGTGCATGACCCCTTTCTTTATTTTTTACTGAAGAAGTATGCAGGGCATCCATTTCTAAGTTGATGCAGGGGACAACTGTGTGAAGCAACAACGTCAAAGGAGGAAAAACTTGAACTGTGCCATCCCAGCTATTGCCACCCATATCCACCCATTCCACATTACACTGCAATTAAAAAGAGGAACAAGAAAGAAAAATGTCTCATATTGTGTTTGCGTGAGAGAGAGGGATGGAGGCTTTACCTCAACCTGAAGTCTTCCTATCAGAATACTGCTAATATAAAGTGCCCAATAGAAATGTTCTGTGAAGAGAAAAAGACGTGTCCAGTGAACATGTGTATTCAACATGAAAATGTAAACAGTAATCCCGCTAGGTGTTTCTAGTGTTCTTTAATTGACTTCCAGGAGCTGAAGCAACCAATAGCTCTTCATCTTCCCAGGCTGAACACCTTTCTCTGACCCTTTTATCCTGCCAGGTATGTAAATTTGGAGGTAGCTTCCCCTTAAAAGGAGCTCTGAGCTCCCCCTGCCCCAAACACACCCACAGGCCCCACTCCTGGATGTGTG